TTGCAGACAATTCTGCGTTCTTCCTTACCTGACCACCAGCATGAAAGATGCAGAAAGTGGGGAAGGAAGATCGTGGAGGAGAAAGGGAGAAAAGAAGGTTTATTTTGCCTATGAGTGCCACCTACTGTCTGCTGAAAGGACCCCAAAGGTCCCTCCACCGCCTCTTGAACAAACCTCCCAGGAGAAACTCTGCTTCTTGGGCAGCCCCTGGCCCAAGGGGGACTTAGGGAAGGCTGCCAGCCATTTTTTGCAGACAAAAGAAGCAGGATTAGGCCCATGCTGTCCGCATGAAGTAAGGCACAGAAGGAAAAGATCCCAATTCAGATGCGAGCTGGCTGTACGAAATCCAAGCAGCCACTGACCACATCCTGTTTATGATTACTCCCAAGTCCAGCTCGGATTCGTTACCTCGCATACATCAGCGGTGCAGCAGGAACAAAACCCGACTCCTACTAATTAACAAAGAGCCAGTCATTAAGCTGTTTTTAAAGCAAAGTAGAAAAGGTGATAAAGGGTCAGCAACTTAATGAAGAAAGAATTCAGGGTATTTGGTATTTATAAGAAGCACTGACAAGAACATACATCTAGAGAGAGAATGTGTGTGTATCTATCCACTACCATTCAAGATAGAAGGTACATGGGGAAGAACAACAACATTCACAGAAAAAACTAGGATTGAAACAAAAGTTAAGATCAAAGTGAAGTATCTGAAGAGTGTGGTTCTGCAGTGCCACACAATGATCAGGACTATGGACTGTCATTTAAAAAAATCACCGGTGAGCAATCAAAATGCATTTTGTAGGTGCTACAAAGACTGCGGGGAAGGTAAGAGCTACTATCATATTAATCCCAACGCCTTATGAAGCTCTCCCTTTCCAGGAATTCAACAAATTAGTTTTTCAAGTTACTGTCCCTTTTGAGCCAAAACTGGATGATTTTCATGCACCAAACATGAAGAGGAACTTAGTGTCAGAAAGCAGTAATGGGGCAAAAGAAAACAAGATGGATCCAGAAAGAAATTTAACAACTGATCAGGGCTGCAATATTCCTAGAGGCTGCAGGGGAAGTCCCACCACTCCAGGGAGTCATAAGAAAGCCTAACGAAACAGCAGAAAACAGGAAAGCTGCAGGCACTGGCAAGGGAACGGTTCGGGTTAGCCAACGTATATTCTCTGCTCTAACTTCTAAGAGTAAGTAGAACTGACTTAGAAATATACTGGTTTGATGGAAAACATTTTCATTGCATCTCAGTGGGTCACAGATTCACGGTTGTGTTAGTCCCTGAAAAAATAAATTCAGAGTAATGGTGGGATACAACAGGGAAGCTCTTTCAGCCTGAAAGAGCTGGCTGTATACTGCTCTAACAGCACTTATCACAAGACTTACCCATCATTTCTTTTGTATCCAATATTAAAAGCTTTTGTGACTAACTTTTCATTACCGAGTTAAAAATCAATACAACAGTCATCACAATACCAAACACAAGCAGAAGAGCTGCAAGTAATCAAGCAGCACTGCTTTTTCCAACAGATCTTGATGTCTGCCTTTCATCCCCATATATTAATACGGCTTTTAATTTAACAAGGAGAAACATGACACGGTCTGAGGCAGTTCCAAACAGCATGAAAGGTTAAACAGGAAAAACCTGATATCCTCTTTTGAGAGGAAGCGCATTTGTTGATTTGTAGGTAGGGACAGCGATATTATTTCATTAACTACAGAGTCTCTGCAAGTGGACACGCAACCTCTTTCCTCAAACAGATTTAGAGCAGAAATCATACACAGCCGATACCACTATTATCTTAGCACAAGCCGTACAGGAGGACCTCTCGGACCGTACATACCTGTGACCTGTTCCTGGGGAACACTAACTAAGTCAGCATTTTTTATTACTTCACAGTCCTGCTTCTCCTCTTTGCATTTCTCTTCATTTTTCTTCTCCTTTCTCTCCTTTTCCTTGTCTTTGTGCTTTTTGGATTTTTTCTTGGTTTTTACATACGAGCTGCAATTGTGCTTGCTCGTTTGGGGACAGTCTGTTGACAAAGGATGAGTCAGTCTGTCAGCCGTCTCTGGGTTCTCACAGTCTCTGCCGTTGTGAGTCAGGTCATTGCTGACATCCGAAAGGGGATCGTGAGGCCTCGGCAGCTCCAGCACCGGGAGGCTGGAGCTGGAGCTCACCGATTCCGGGAGAGCCGGCGGCAGGACAGGGGCAGGGGCGTCCTTCCCGTTGGAGGAATTCAGTTTCCCGTTGAAAGTGGGCTGAGTTCTGTGAGCCAAATGCGAGATCCTGGGCTTTTTGTTGGCCAGGGGATCGATAAACTCCAGAGGCTGGGATCGTTTCTGGGGAGAAAAAAGGAAAAAAAAAAAGAATCTTGAAGTCTTGAGGCCAGAATTTTGGATGCTGTTACCACTAGGTGGTGGTGCAATACCAGAGAACAAGGGAGTATCCCCAGAAAAAGAGCTCTGCTATCAATGAGACCTGCCAGCAAGTGTCCCAGCTCAGAGGCTGGTCCTGGACATAGGCTCCAGGACCACCAGGTCCTACAAAAGCTGATCCATCCCAAGCCACTTCCTGACAATCCCGACAGCCGCTCTAGAGCCCGCGGCTCGGTGGGAGAGCTTATAGAAACCCACCATCACATCAGCAATTACTGATCTCCTGCACTATTCATACACAGGCCATGCAACCCAGCCTGCTCTCGTTGCATCTTATTTCAAATCTAGCCTTTTATGAATAAAATCCTGTCCTTCACCCTCCCCTTGTCCCAGCCACTCAGCAGAGAAGAGAAACAACCATAAAAACATCTGTCCTTCTGGTTGTGGCATGACATTTAGAGCACCTCAAAGTCCCTGCGAAGGAAAGATGTGCTCAGACCTCTGGAGCAGGGAGGGATTCACAAGTTCTCCATTTTATTCCCAACTGATTTTACTAACTCTGTGGTCAACAACTCTACCCTTGCAATACCACTCCTTCCTCTTTTCAAGAAAGAGGCATTTCCCGGAAGAGGTGAGAAAGCGTCAACTGTTAAGTTCTTAGAATTTAAGGCAAAAGAGGACATTGCAGCAGTTTTAAAAGCCATGTCACACAGGCCAACATGACCTGAGTATCCCTTTTTTAAGTAAGTGTAGATAGAGGAGTGTAGATAGAGGAGTGGTTCCCAGCTGCCCCCATCAGCCCTACCTGGACAGTCACAGGCAGGGCTTGGAGCAGCTCTGTGTGCCCATACCTCCTAGTAAGCCGTTGCCTACGGACTGCGGGTTAGCCCGGGGAAGCTGCATCATGGAAGAACCAATCCGTCAGTCAGCAGAAAGAAGAGCTGAACGCAGAGCCAGAACTACGGCTGTTGGGCTCAGTCCAGCCTGAACCAGCCAAAATTACCTTGGACAGCCATCAGTGCAGCGGTGTGTGCCTGCCTGGCAGCACAGGGCTGCAGAAACTCTGAGGAAAGATTATTTAGCACCCAGAGGAAAACAACCGATAGTTCTGGTTATTTCTTTTGGATATTTTATTGTTTTCTTTATGTCTCAGGCAGGACTGCGATGTGTTTGTAAATGGAAATTTTGTTCCATCACAGAAGTGCAGCTGAATGCACGGCTGCTTTGTCAGGGAGCCACCAGTTCGCTCCTTTTCCCCCCAGTTATTATTTATTTCTCTTTGCTAACTCCAGGGGTCTCAAGGACACTGCTCAGTGGCAGGAATCCTTTCCACCTGGCAAGGTAATTACAAAGAGAAGCTGCTCATACTGCCACAGAGCTCAAGGGGCAAGGACAGCACGTCGAACCGGCTTTGCAACATCACTGACTGCCTTCCCAGCCGAACACAAGTAATGTCCATCTGCCAAAAGGAGGGGCCATTCACTTTGACTACAGGTCTCAGAACAGGCGACAGATCTAAGAACTGCCATCTTTTACTATTCTTTCTCTAGAGCCAACAAATACCAGCTTCACCTCTTTAGTTATGAGGTGGTATATGCATGCAATACCTGCTCTGCCATGCTTCCTTAGAATTACCAGACCAATCTTTTTCTTTGCCTTCATTCCACAACTGAACTTTCCCAAAATATTTTGCATTCCAGACTACCAAACCCCAGTCCTCTGCTGCGACTGCAACCATTAAGCAGGCACCCCTTCTCCAAATAGAAACTACAGCTATAGGATATAAAAAAAATGACTGCTTATGAAAATGAAAGCTGTCTGTGGTTTGCTGTCTGACACAAGCCATGTTAGAAGCACTGCTGGAAACGTTTATATTCCATGTTTGGTTGCCCCTGTTTCACTAGCCTCTTCTAGATCCAAACCAATCAACCACCCAAAGTTTCGACTGGGTCATCTCAAGAGACCAGAAACATCCCCTCAGACCTTTGCGTCTCTCAAAATATGTACAGCCAGAAGCAAGATGATTTTTCAACCTACATTTTTTCAGAATCAGGTTAAGAAAAACACAAGACCAGCCTCTTAACAGCTTTGTGTCTTTCCAAGCTAACTCGAACGAAGGGGATCATTCTTTATTGGGCAGGAACATGCCCACAGCAGAGCAGAAGAGGATTTGGAATTAGCTACCTGGCAAACAAGTTGCACAGTTCTTGTTCTTAATAGAGAATTGCCTCCCTCTCGCTGCCAGAAAGCACATAATTTCTTTACCTGCTAATATTCTTTGCCACTAATCCTCAGTGCGTCTGTCCAGACAAGTAGGCATTACACATTCCATTGGCAGGAGGAGAATAAATACTCAACTTGTCTGGGCTGACCCGCAGCAGAGAAAGGAAGCCGGCATTTCACAATGTAGCAAGAAACACCTGCGCTAAGAGATACTAAGAGGAGTGGGGACAGACTCTGCTTAACACACAAGCCAATGCAGCTCCTTCGCAGTTTATCATCATGGAAAAACAGCTAAAACGTGCTTTTCACAGCTCCGTGCACTGGCATCTCAACAAATCAAAGAGCAGACCAACCTGCCCCTGATCTGTCACGGCAATTAGGTTGCAAAAGGTCAAGGTTTTTAATAACTCAACTGTGTTTGGGAGCTACTTATTACTGCTTCGTTCCAGTCAATTATTAGTAATGAGTAAAACACAAGCTCATTCTCTCAGGAACTCCAAGAGGGATGTAGGCACTATGAAAAAAATTTAGCCCTTAAAACTAAACGTAAGACACACTGTCAGAGATCCTCCCCATAGGCCATCACTGAACCACATCCAGAGGAGAAACAGATGCTGAGGAAACACAGACTTAGACTCTAACTTAATAAAATAGAAAAAAAACCCCAACAACCTATTGACCTAACAGCCTCCAGCAGCAGGTGATTACGGTGCGCAGACAGGCTGAACGGCTCAGCCTGGACCTACGTCCAGCAACCAACTCCACCAAAAGCAGATGGAGCCAATTGCTGGCTCTGTGCTAACCAGACCCAACGCCCCTGGAGAGGGATCACCTACCTGAGGAGGAGAGCTGGAGTTCACATTGTCTTTTGGTGGACTCAGGGAAGGCGCTTCTCCTTGAAAACCGCTACTGTTCTGTGGCTGACAGAGTTTCCTGAAAAACAGAATTTAGGGCTGTTCAAAATCCCGTGCTTGACAAGCCAACAGATGGTATTTCAAACCTTCCTGCAGAGCAAAGAGCCTTTTCGTGGGCTCAAATTCTGACTGCTTGAAGGTGCCATGAAAGTAGCTCGTTCCGGCACTTACAGTTTCGATCTCAGACAAAATCTAGGAAGAAGAAACTACTACAGGAAAATATCAATCAGCAACATATGGTAATTGCTTATTTCCTTCTTGCCTTTCCATGATTTTTGTAATTCTCTGTGAATGGAGGTAACACCTTGGACTGACACTGCCGGTCTTGTGGCAGGGAGGGAGAGAGGAGGCAGGCTGAGCTATCAGACACACGAGAGGATTCCCTACCAAGGATGGAACTTATTTTCCAAGAGTTTTACCTCTTTTCTCTTGAATTGGTGACATAAGTATTATAACAAATGAATTAGAACCTTAGAAAAATAATCCATATACAGATTAGTAAAAACTGGCATTGAACTTTGAAGTGTATAGGATATAGATACTCTTGTTACTGACTGAAATACAGCTCAATAAGCAAGACGTTATTTAAACTAATTTCTGCTGAGTTTGCCTCACCCGGTTAAAATTGACTTCATGAGAAAATTCAGAAAGCAAGCACACTGAAAAGGGGCTGAAACTCAAGGTCAGATGTTGAGGAGTAAGTTCTCCCACTCATTAGCACCATTAAATCAACACTGTACAGGAACAGCAGTCCTCTTTCAGAAGCAAGCTCCTCTGGGTCCAGGAAAAGCAGGATTGTAACAGGAACTGTTATGGTGTTATTGGTCCACTAGGATTTACATTTAGGGCTTCATAATAATACTTTTAAGTTGCATCATGCAAAATAGCACTACTTTGGTCTGTATCTGCGGTATTCGACAAACAATAGAAACCTCTTGTAGCAAAAAAGTACAATGCAAGTCATTCTAATCACGTAAGTGCGTTAATTCACATTCACGCTGGGTATCTCCACTCCCCGCTGCCCAAGGGGCTCTCCAGAGTAAAGTTTCATAGCGCACCAGCTTTGCCCTACTCTTCTGACACCAGCCAGATTGCCCATATATTAATCAACCAGGAAAAACTACTGTTGCATCAAGTTGCAGCTGTCAAGCTGAAAAAAAAATTCAGGGTTAAAGGTTTTAATAAACTAGCTCTGCAGTCATTTTGTCACCAGTTGTACAGCCTAAATAACCAACGTCTAAATTCTTCCACAAGAGGCTATAATCAGCTTTAAAGCGCACACATATTTTTCAAACACTGGGAAGATTATTTCAGAGATAGAGCCCACGACTTTACAAGATTTTCTTTTAACCTGAGCTTGAACCTTCAGCCATATTGCAGCAGCATTTAGATGTTTGCAGTTTCGCCGCCGTTCTGGCTTCAGTTGCTGCTTTGTTTAATTTCATTTAGAACAATCTCAACAGCCACGGATCAACTCAAGAAAAGTACTCAGACTGTGAAAACAGGAAGGGGAACAGTGATATTCCATAAACACCGCAGTGAAAGTGGCTTTTTGGATGCCGTTTGACTAGACTGAGCAACCTTGTCACATCTCCTAACATGTTAATTATGGATTTAAAAAAGTGAAAGACGACTACTTTCAATTCAGCAGCTCTTGTAATGGCAGAAAAACATTATACTACAATGGTGAAAGAAGGATGGAAAACACAAACATGAGGAAAAATGAGTTAGTCTAACACGGGAACTGTTAGATATAGTTTTAATATTTGCAGATGTGCTAATTATTGCAGCCGATGAACCATCGAGTAGCAACTGGACCTGAAAACCAAGAGGACATTTAACAATTGGCTGGATCTAGGCAACCACGCAGACTACCACAGCCAGCTACGTAAAGTCCTACGTCTGGTGCCTGTGCCCTTTTTGTGAATGTTTTTCTACTGTCTTCAACCCTACATGTTTTTTCCATTTTGTAGCCTCATTACCTGCATTGGCTGAGCGGGTCTTTGTTTGTACAGTTGAATACATCCTTTCCAAGGCCTATTTTTAGACCTTTGCATAACTGAATGCCACAATTCTAGAAAAAGCAGTAAACATTGCTTTCTACAGGGAGAAATGAACTTTTTTGAAAGCCATAAAGATTGCATGGCAGTTGTATTTTTCCATTTAATTGTAATTCAACATCAACGCCATTTAAACAAGTTTGATTTTTCTCTAGCATGCCAAAGCACTTTAAACGCAAGTTTCTGTTGGTTTAACAAAGTCTCATCTCCAAGCCAATTGTGCTTTCAAATCATGGAAACTGTTCAAACAGAGCATGCTCTACTTAATCTTAACCAAAAACGCACTAAAATAAGTCTCAAAAACAAGTCAAGTAAAATCTTTATCTGCATTACAAAATCTGTACCAAGTCAGTACAAACGCACTGAAAACCCAACGGGGGAAATATAAGCACTCGGAGCAGAATTCTCCTTTAGAAACCTGGGAGATATGTTCACCTGCCATCCAAGAGCTTCCAAGCTTGGAGGCTTCACCTAAGGAAAAAAATCCTTAGCAACCAACGAGACAATGCTATCGTCTCAACTAACTCTGTTAAGGGCTATTTTCAGGAAGGAACATGAGAACAGGTATCCCTTGGACAGTGGGGATTGCACTGTACGGGCAGCAGGACAACCAGCACGTGTTTTAGGGGACTTATCTCCACGGAACGGCCTCGTACTTTTTCATGCGTCCCTTACTTCAGTCAAATCTTAACCTTGCAGGGTGACTGCAATACTAACACAATTTGCAACGCAAGAAAAAGAAAAACACCCAAATAAACAAACATCCAAATAACTCTACAGAAATTAAGCAGCAAAGTCTCCAAAGCAAACACCTCAAGAGGAATAGGGACACCCACAGGAACAGAACACAGAAGCGGCTGAGCAAGACAGCTAGGGGACGTGGCTGCTCGGTAACGCCTCTCTTCTTGCCTGGAACAAACACGGCAGTCTGCACAGGAAGCCATGTACAAGAAGATATGGAAAAAGGAAAGGAGAGTTTCAATGGAGAGTTGAGCTGGACACATTTGCCTTAATCCATTCATCTCCCAGGATTTTAAACCAACATTAACTTTTAACTGTAACAGCTTTTGTTCCCCATCCAGGTTTTTCCCGTAGCTTTTAGTATAATGATTTAAAGGCAACTTAGGACGATCTGAAGAGTGCCTCCACTTTGATATTCAAGTTTAGTCAACTTCTACAGCTGCCTGGACAATAAAGAGATTTACTTTATGTTAAAATAAGTCAAACACTAACTTACCATCATTCTACTGACTTCAGTTACCCTGATTTATAGCAACTGACCTGGCCCAGTACTTTCAAGCTCCAGATGATATTACAGAGAAGATGGAATAATTACCGAACAAGTATCCTCTTCAGCAACTGCTGATCTCCTTCAGAGTAGCCAGGCCAGTCCTTCTGCACTTCTTTGTATACACAGTCTTTCAGTGTGAAAGTGCTGTCCTTGGCACTCAAATTTGCCACCTGAAACAAAAGTAATTTGCAAAAAACTGTTAGGGTTTAATTTCCTCACTTGTTCTAACAAAAGAGATCTAAGATGTAGGCAAAATCTCAGCAGGCTTAGCAGCAGTTAGTAGTGTCAGAGAACAAGCAGCGTCAGAGAACAAGTAGAGACTTTATAGTTCATTTCTTGACTATTTAGATTATTTATTCAAACTGTGCCTTTCCTTTTGCCTTGCCATTGCAATAGTTTATTATGAGTTTCCAAAACATATCCAGTGTACTGGGAAACAAGTGATATCTAAACAGATTATTCAGCTTGGATAGTCTGGAACGGTACAACATCAGTTTATCGAAATACCTGGAAATAAACCCTAGTGGGAACAGGCAGTTCACTTACCACACCTGTCCGATAGCTAAAATGGTGCAGTTTATTAGCTGCTACAGAACGCTTGCGACGATAGCTTAGTTAACAATTGCCAGAAGATAATTTCTCACTAACAAGCCAGTAAAACAGGCGACAGGAAGCTACTTTCTCAAGAAGCAGTGAAGAGAATGCCTTGCAGATATAATGCATTAGGGAGCCTGCAGATTACACTGTGCAGTTCAGTGCATTAGGATCATCTGCTGGATTTCATGGAGAAGACCTTTTCCGAGGACTACTGCAGGGCACCAACAAAACCTGTGATTACCAGCTTATAACCCAGGGTTTTACAATAAAGCACTGCACCTAAATCATGTGCTGCAGTTAACTCAGTACACCACTTGCATGAGAAGCTTTGTGACATTTTATCCAGTTCTATCATGTGTAGTTTCCCCACAAAACTCTGCATGGTGCCTACACAGATAGGAAACACTGCTGGAACCGGCAGAACTGTATTAGAATGGAAACAACTTGTTAAGAGTTTTCCCACTTTAATCAGTCTTTCCACAGCTTGACTGAAAATTTAACTTCTTGCTGCTGGTTACACATCTGAAAAATACAATGTTAGCACAAACCAAAAAGCCCCAATTAAGTTTTCACAGATACTGTAACTGTACTGTCTTAGTGAACACTTCTTAGGTGACTGTAGAGCACTGCAAGCTTAGAAAGAAAACAAAGCCTTAAATTTGTTTTTATAAAAGGCATACGGAGGCAGAGGTGCCAAATGCTATGCCCACAGCCAGGCTGATCAACTGGCAAAGCCAGCAACCCCTTCTCAAATCCACTGCTTTAGCCGCTCCGTTTGAGGACTGTATTATGCTTGAAACTGGAAGATGCTTTTATTCAGTCAGTGGAGATATTGTGCATCTATTTAAGGATTAGTGTTCTCCATTGCTCGCTCCATTCAGGAGACGGTTGTGCTTATGATTTTCTATTATCCACGCAGCAGTAAGATAGCCTCAGAAAAGCAAGTGAAGGAGTGGAAGGTCTTGAATTACCTGAAGATGCTGTTAATTCCTCTGCTTTTGCTTTAGGGACACTATGACCTAATATTAAAAATCTATGAATTTAAAAGCAAAAAGCTGTGGAACTAATACAGCAAAGCTCTCCTGATAAGCAAAAAATAAAAAGCACAGTTATCAGTTTACATGATGAACACTTTGTTTTTCCTTTCAGTTCTGTCAGCGTTCCAAAATCCTGAGCCAAAATACAAGAAGAATTTGAGCTGTGTTTTACATTTAGATATCCCAGTAAACATGCCCAAGAGACGAAAGCAAAGCCAGGTTCTTTTTCAAAAACTCTCCGACAATCTCTCCGTTACTGCCTCTTTCTACAGCGGGAGACATGCTGCTCGGCAAGGCTTGCAGCCCAGGCAGAAGAACAACTCAGATTTTCTCTGCACAGAGGCTGAGAGCTGCTACCTCCTTGTTTTGCTGGTGTGGGACTCTGCAAGCTCCACCCCAGGCCTCCCAAAAATAGAAACCTTGCAAAATGAGGCAAAAAGGCCAGCAGGAACACAGAGTCCTACGAGAGATGCAAGAGCACAACGAAACCCACACCTAGACGTATTTAGACATGTAGCTTTAACGCAGCCTGTAATTTTTAGCTTATCGTGTCTGCTTGTGGATGGGAGCCCTGGTAGCACTGAAAGGAGATTAAGTTTACAAGCAATACATTTACAGCCAAATCAGGATTTAGCCCATCAGGTTGACACTGTGGACACTGCCAAACACACCACTTGCCTGCTAGGGGTTTGTGAGAGCATCAATAAAAGGTGATTATCAGAAACCATATTTCTAGTATTAAACCCGTTTACAGCATTCAAAAGGGTGCTCAGAAGAATTCTAGTACTGCTGGAAAATTAAGGGCTACAGGATTAAAATCTAAGGAAGGAGCAAGTTGTGCCAGCAATAACTCCATTTTCAATATGACCTGCCCTGTGCCCTTGGGCAAACTAACTCCTCACTGTCTCATTCTTTTCAGCTATGGAAAGGAGTGGGAGAAAAAAATCCAATACAGAAGAGGGCAGCTGCAGCATTTAAATAAATATCCATGATGTGTTTTGCACTGTGAGAGCAATAAAGGTATTTACTGCAATTCCTAAAATGGCACCTTCAACATGACTCAAAGTGTTAAGAACTGATTCAGCTTGGAGACAGTTTTCGCACTTGACATGCAAATAATATGCTTTGCAAGAAGCTGCATGATCTTCACACCTAACCAGTTGCACTTCTAAGCAGGAAAGGCATGGGTCTGAACAATACAAAGAAGATGTAAAGCTTAGGGGAGAGAGACATATTTTCTCCTTCACATAGGAAACATTACATGTATCAGTACAGAACGTGTTCCTTTATGTCCACGTTAATAAAAATATATAGAATAGATTTATATGTTATAACAAATCAAACAGCTCGTACATCCTCTGTTAGATAATTCTCCCCACGACCAACCAAAAATGTTCCTCTTAAGTGACCGATCTGGTGAACCGAAATCATACAGCTTAGTTGCATACACCTAAACCAAGGCGTATACACAAGAGGCTTCTGCTATCTCTAGCAAAATAGTGATACGAATTGCAAACTTCTGTCGGACACGGCCTTTACAGAAACATTCAGCTGCAGCTTTGAGATAAACAGGTTATGTTCAGACTAACACAGAAGGTACTACCGTTCTGAGAAGACATTTCCCTTTACCTAAATTGTTGCCTTCATCAGAGTACAAACCTGTTGCAGAAGGTTGTCCAGCAAATCCTTGTCCTGCTGAGAAAGTCCATCCTTCTGCAATCTGAGAATAAGTTCAGGTTTCTTATAAGGCTTTAGTGCCAGTAAGTGCACAACCCTATCTTTGAAGGGTCTCTGAGAAATCGCACTATTGCCTCTCTTTATTGCACTGGCAAGGTTGACTGGCGTTGGGCGCTTCCTGGAGGGAACAGCATCGGAAGCTCCTGGTGCAGGTTTACGCACCTGAACCTTTTTGCCTAAAATGAGATGAGAATAGTGAACTGCAGCAGTCACCTTGCAAACGCCAGTGGTCTGTCAACATGTATATGGAGTTCATTACACCATCTCAAGTGCCAGAAGATGACAATGAAGGACAAACATAAGCAGCACACCCCATCCGTTCCGATATGCAGCCGGAATGAGCATCCCGTGAGTTTTACGATTCATGACAAGCTTGTAACAAGTAAACAGCAACACCAAGCTCTGGAAACCTGAGTATTATTGGCCACAAGCTTACATAAAGCTCTCTTTGTTTGCCAGCTTTTCATTTATCCCAAGTGCATGTATCCCCACAGTTAATCTAACCATTTTTTTCCCTCCCTATGAGAAGAAAATTCTACATTATTATGTAGAGGAGTAGAAATATGGAGTGGAAAGACCAGAACTGGTCAACGAGCAGCTCCCTGCTGCTGATCTCAGCAAAAACGCTCCTCCAGCAGATGTTTCTGCTTTTAGAACAATAGGAACTTTATGGGGCTAGGTCCACCTCCCTTCCTCCCCGCCAAACACAGCCACATGAATGGGGTCTAACACCGATACATTAGCCTATTCATCAGCGTGCTGTCTATTCTAATAGAATAGCATTAGAATCTTCTACATTGTAGTAATGACTGCTTCACCCTCCAATTACATTTGTGTATACGTGAGAACATAAAGCTGCCTCAAAAGTTCATCTCGAGCCCTCAGAGGCAGCTTCCTCAACTCCGTCCCAAATGTGGTTCTTGGTTTCTGACAGCATTATACAAGAATTCATTTTCCCATTCCTATTGAAAAACAGCTTTAACTAGAATTCTCACACAAGTCCCACATCACTTACTAAAGCACAAATCAAATAATTTTACTATTTTGAAACGGGTCACAAAGCCAGGTTCCTGCTATCAAAGGTGAAACCAGGAAATCTAAAAAGAAAATTTGTAGGTTCCAAGGTCTAAAACATGGAGATGCAATCAATAATCACTCTGGTTCAAGAAAGTGACCTTCACTAGGACAAACAACATCCAGCATTTACTGCAAGAATTTGGAGATTTATTTCAGCATGGCAATTCTTCACTGCTAGGAAGCAATGTTTTTAACTGAGTCATCTGAAGATACTGGTGATTGTCTGCAGTGTTTATTTTACTGAAATGTAGATTGCATAACTTAGTCCCCATTTCCTGGCTTTTTATTACGCACCACGCTGATGCAAGTAAGTACGACCCATCATTGGCAGGGCTGAATTAAGAGGAGAGGGAGAAAAACAACAATTCACATGTTAAACATCCCAAAATTCAGAGGTCAACTGGACTTCATTTCCAGAAATGGGACAAGAGAAGATTCGTCAGCTTTTTAGAACTCCCTTAAGTTTTGCCAGGTCATGAACAGCAAAAACACACTGGGACATTTCCACTTAAGGCTGGAGCCAAAATGCGCAATGATAGGAAAAGAAAAAACTAAGTTAAGCCAGAACATGAAGTCTTTTAAAATACTTATACATGTGCATACATAGATATGTATACACACATATTTATTTAGTGTATATATAAGCACACATATCCCCCTACAGACATATCATCTATCTATTTATTTACATATATATTTGTTCAAGTGTTAGTTCACATCTATATCGTTCTGCGAATCTCCAGTTTCAACATTTCATACAAATTCTTCCACATCTGAGCTGTCTGGAATGACTCCATTGACGTTTAAGTGCTGAGCTCCGTATTCGCATGGAAATGTGAGAGCCAGCCTTCTCCCTCCAGACTAGCCTGCAAGTGAATCAGCGGATGGTGCTGGCACACCAAATACGTGCGTATCCTACAAGAGGACTGTCCTTGCCCAGGCTCTTCCTTCTTGGACCAGTGCTTTCCTCCTGTCTGAAACACTGACATCTTGTATGTATAGCATGCACTCCACTCCACTGCTTTTTACATGGTTGTACCTCCATTTCAGAGCAGTAAACGTTTTAGGAGGAGTATTTTTAAATAAAAAGTTTTGCTCTATCTTTCCGGGAAGCAATTTGCCTTGAGAATCTTCTCCCCCACAAGCCTAACACCTTCATCCACTTACTGTAATGTTCTCAAATATAAGCTAAACAAAATAATCTTCTAGTCTACAGGAAATCAATGCATTTCCTTCCTGATTACTATCTTATTTCTCAGCTTTGAGCGCTTGGCTGATAAAACAATGAGTCAGGGTCAGTTCTACATTTTGCAACTCACCATTCTCATCACAGACATCCCCTGAGAAGAGACTGGCTACAGATCACATGGGCTGCAGAAAAAACAGCTGGCTCAAAAAAACCCCAAACCCACAACTCTGCTTTCTGGTTAATATTTGCGCCCTAAGTTTGTGACTAGACTGAGCTTAAGCAGGGACCTGAGCCCAAAGCGAGGTCTCTGCAGCCTCCTTCTGGACCCCACTGATATTTGCCACAGTTTTATTTCCCCCTCTAAGATTCTCCTTTCATTGTCACAATACGATGGTTTGTTTAAGGCTGCAGTCAGCAGCCCTGCTTTAGCCTCTTTGTTTATTAACACAAACGCTCTGCTATCTGCATCCTAGATGTTGCATGTTGTGGTCTCAAGTGCAGGCACACACCAGATGTGTGACAACAGCGGTGGCACATTTTAGCTGACTTCGCAAGGAGCACAGACACTTCTGACGGATCAGCAGTATGCTCTCAGCATCATCGCATGACAAATATGAAATAATGCCAGAGAGTGATGTGACTGCACACAGACAACCCTCAGAGGCCACGCAAACACGACCACACATGTTCTAAGATGAAGATGGAAGCCATGAAGAAGTCACCATACAAGGAGAGTAGCACCCTAATTAATCAGATATCCGTAAGGAACTACCAGATACTTGTTAAAGACTTTCATGGGCAAGCAAAACAAACGTCAGCATTTGACTTCAGAAGCTAGTGAAGACAGCCCCAAATCAAGCTGCTGCTTACCTACGTATCTCCCCCCAGGTTTAATGACTATAGCGCTCCGGCTGCGAGTCTCCTCCTCTGCCTGTGCCATGCTTTGCCTTGCCTTCTGGTAGGAATCATCAGTAGCACACACGGTGATTTTATCCTGTATGCTTCCAAGGCAATCCAGATGGATATTGCCATTGCTGCAAAAGAAATGCAACGGAAAAGATACTCCCAACACTGCAAACGGACACATCTCTGTCACTGGTGAATAACTGAGGTTGCATTATCTAAATAATAGGAGGGGACAGAAAGAAGCTGAGAGGTAAACAGATTCTTTTGTGAGTGCCTCCTTACCCAAATATACACACGCAGATTGGAAAGACTCTAAAAAGAAGGAACATGTATTAAGTTTTCTTCAGGTTTGTTACGGAAAAGATTTTACAGAAGATAAGATATATATATATAAAAAAAAGGCTAGATTTTCTTTTGCTGTACCACTCACCTAGATACATACTGCTGGATACAGTCAAAACTCCCTTGGGGGCTGTCCTTGCCAATATTTGAAAGATAAAATGTGAAAGTCCGCACTTCCGTGGGTCGATCAGGCCTTGGAATTGCGATGTGCTGTTTGGAAGGAGAAAAATACTGGTCACTTGGGTAGCCCACACTAACACAAAATTCAACTTTTTGGCAGTCACTATGCTTTTAGCCATTTTGCAACCCACTACAAGTAAAGCATATGGATTATTGCACAGGAGACTATGAAGAGCAAGAAGCTACAAGAAGGGTTCAAGTTAGCAAAACTATATACGCTGAAAAGATAAGGTAACAGAGGTAGACAGATGTAAAGAACAGCTAAAAAGACAGCTATGTCTGTAACAGAACAGAGATCTGAGCTGGCGGCTTGCTGCCTTTCAAAGCAGAGCCTACAATAATTTGTTCTAGGAATCTGACCCAATTCTATTGATTCAGGAGCAAAACAGACTTGCTACCACTGTTTATATTAAATTTAAAGCACTTGAGACTTGTTTCTTTAGAACTAGTGATCCAGCACTAAACTTAGTACAAGCCAGGTCACTAGGTAGCATGCTTATTCTTTTTTAAGAGATTATAATTCCATAACGAGATTTCATGGCTCACAGTAGAGTGTGACGCTGCTGCTAAATTAAATATTTAATCAAGCATTAAGTGTACTCCGCAGACAACTCTACAGCGATCTGCATTGTTTTTCTCCCCCCAGCCATTCATTTTTCAAAAGGGAAACCGTTTCCCCTCTGCGTTCAAGATCCAACATAAATCTCAGCATCTGAGCTCTACTATCACATCAATATTTGATAATTAAGATGGCTTCCAGAAAATGAAACAGAAGGAACATCAGCTTCAACCTATTTTAGGCTACACTCTACCACACAGATTTATATTTACCCAGATTGCCACATATATGCACAAAATATATACGCCTAGCAAACCAACTTGTGGCATCCACATATGAGACTGCTCCATAAAAGATTACTGCTGGTACAGAAGGGTTTCTAGGTGGTTTCCCTTTGACCTCAGATGTCTACAGCAGCCTGGAAACCCAGTGCATCTGTGCCACTTTGCTAAACCACAGGGATGTTCTCAGAACCGGCAAGAAGCGCTTGTGTGACCTGCACTGAGCTGAGCCAGTGCAGCATTTTCCATTCACTCTCCGGAAAGACCAGCGATCCTCCAGCCGGCCCCCAAAACAGATTTTCCTTCTTTCGAAACGGCAAGCCAAGAAACCCAGACTGGAGCGATACAGAAGGACAAGTTATCCCCCGCACAGTCCCAGGATCCGGATCTAAAAATACTCGGAGCAGATTTGGTGGCGATCCGGGCGCTGACGGGCAGCACTGACCCTCCGACGGCAGCAGCTGAGCCCTGTTATCTCCCCTGCCAAATGTGCGCCACAGCCTTGAGCCCTTAATCTGCCCCGGCACCCTCTGCCCCCACCCATCCAGAACGAATAAAATTCTCTTCTGCTTTACAAGCGAGCTGAGAATATGTCAAAGTTATGTAAACAGTAGATTGTGGGTATTTTACAGTTGGCACTGTTTACCCGCTAGTTAATTCGCTGGGAACAGGGCAAGAAGGTAAATGCAACGGGTCTGTTCAGCTTCTAGTGCTGTTCGTTGGGGGAGCGAGTTGTGCTGCACGTGACGGGTTTGTAAAATAAAACTTGGAGGATGTAACCAAATCATATATTCACACACTAAAATAACTTGCCTCTAGCTCCCGATTTACCATTGTATGAAACGGCTGCTCTGAGAGCCTCGACTCTGGCATTTTTGTAGAGTTTCTGCAGCTTCTTCAAAGGACGTAAAATGAGACAGAAGCGAGAGAGTCACTGCAGCATTAATGTTGCTCGTTCCAGTACTGAAAAGTGTAGCATATGCAAACCGGCCGTTATCTAGGAATTATTTTTAGCTGAAACAGAAGGTTTCTCAAGCCACCAAATCAGCATGGTAACTGCTTTGAGGGAGCCCTAATTTTGGTGCCGAGTATTACACCAGTAACCATAGACACTTAAAAATAGCTCAGTACAGATGTTACTTCTGTTTTTTTTCTTTCAAGTAATACTCATCTGCGTACAGCTCATTCTGAATGGCAATTTCACCTTTCTCTATTAATACCAGCACAAGTTCATCCCAAGAAACAGGGAAAAACGTCATATTTTCCAATCACGTAAAGTTAAGACATTTTGTTCCTAACAGTCATATTTAAGAAAGCTGCATAAACGTACATGTATTTGGCACCTGAACGTTTCCCCTCCCACCCCAGTTCAGTTCTTTCCCTCCTCCCCTCATCTCAGGTCCGTCCCCAACAAGCACCTGCAAATTTGACCCAACCTAATCTCTAATTCTGCACATGCTTTTACCGAAATAGAAGCATCTTCTGCCTTTCTTGTGAAGTTATGCACTCCATCAACTACCACCGTTTGTAATGCTCTGGTACTCAAGCTCTTAAGTTCTCGTTTACATGCACGTTGAAACAACCAAAATGCTCCAGACTCCATACAAACTTACAAAACTATCCAAGAAAATCCAGTTCATGATGAAAAAGTAATGAACAGATGCTGCTCTTAAGGAATATCCCGATAGTCCCACTTTAGCATCTCAAAGCTAGAAGTAACGCTCTGCTAATTACAACCTAGTTACTACTATCGAAATTCTGATGATGGCACAGATTATTGCACTGAAAAAGTAATTAACAAGACTCGCATTGCTATAAAGAAATGCATCCCAAGGCAAAGATCATTTACAGTCTACAGTTTATAAAAACTCTCGTGAGATTCGATCCAGACCAGGATCCATGCAGGAGGTTTCGTCCCCTGTCACTGAAATAGCTGTTTTATTTTAGGCTAGAAGCACCGACATCTTCCTTTCAACACCAGCCGACAGAGCTGCCACCTTGCTGACCTTGTGTTTTATTCCTGGCCAATTCCCTTCTCTGTTTAATTAGAGTATTAAACATGAAAGTTGTTTTCTGTGTATTAGAAGCTGAGAGTATTCATTATACTAACACTGGGAATAGGTAAAAAAAGACATGGACACAGTAATTTAAAAGCCCCACAGATAATGACATTCAACAGGTCAGGAGGCTTCTAGAGAACTAAATTAAATTAAGGAAGCAGCATTTTGTTTTAAACTCTTATATTATGTCCTGCTTCCCCCCAAACATCAAATCTTGCGAGAGGGATATTTACACAGAAAAGTCACACTATTAAAATCTTGTATCACTGCTTTAAATCACACTCTGACATTTGTGCTACATACAAACCTACCACCCTCAAAAGTTAATTGGAAATCATCTTCTCCATAGCAACATTTATTAGGAAGCAAAATAGGAAGGAACAAATTGGGGAATTAAGGTATAGGGGAAGAAAGCGTATTGCAAAAATAAATAGCTAAACAAGTATGTTTTAATGTCATCATCTGAATTTGAGAACTTGTTAAATTATCTTTTCAGTCCAATTGATAGGAGGCTCACTAGAAAGTATCTAAAGCCCTGCCGTCAGTTCCTTAAAGCAGGGCACAATCGTGACATATACGAGTACTACACTTAAAAACAGACGGTTACACAGCTGCCAGCTTCTTGTCGTACCCAGTAAAAATAATAATAAAAGGACAAAGAACTCTTTCTATCTGCCCCCATTGAACTGGATCTCGCTTTCTTCAAAGCCCTACCTTTGGCCTTTACTCGACAGTGCAATTAATTAAACAGCTGAAAACGAGGCAAGCAGAAGTCAGCTCTGTGCTGCCAACATCCTCCTTCCACCCGCAACGCCCCAGCGCGGCTCACTGTGCAGGGCTCAACGCTTCGCTCTTTAAATGGCAACATCAGACGCAATTGTGCCGCTTCGCTCCTTCTCCATTCAACCCGGACGGTAACTACAGGTGACTGGCAGCTGTTTCACCAAAAACTCTTCTTTGGAAGTTACGGGCTCAAATACAATTAAATGCATTAAATATTTATTTTTAATTTTTATAAGGAACTGCATAATTTGAAAATATTTTTAATTATTATAAGGAACTGCACCATTTTAAAATAGGTTTTCTTTTGGTTAACCTGAAAATGCCCAGTCCATATCAGATCCATGTGAAACCCACTACAAGGAGAGCACAGCGGCTGAGGGCAGTGGAGCGTTTTAAGCTGTTTGATTCATTTTGCTACATTTCCTTCGAGGAGGAAGATTAAATAAGAGAAGCGGCATTTCTAGAACTTAAGCAGCTTTACAGGAAAAGTTAGGTGTAGATCCTCACAAGGTGCTCTACAAAGGGAAAGGAAAGCATCTGCAGTCTTTTTAGCTTCTTTATTACATACAAAGCTGTTTGCTCATCTAATAGCAACAAATCATGCACCCTTAAATTTTTCCTTCTCACTCGCTCCTAATTTCACCAAACTTCAGTTGCAGATTTTTATCTAAGCTTTTATGCTGAGCTTTCTGGGAAGTTTAATTGTAAACAAAGTAAAAAACTTGGAAATTGCTCCTTTCTTTATTTCCCAGGACAAAAAGGTTTGTATTTTTCTTCTTAACTTACGGTAACAATCATGTCTTTCCTGCTACGTTTTGTTAGAGTACTATATACTATTAGTGAGACTAATATCACAAGGTAAAATATGGGCAAGGAGAAGTGTGCTAGACTTTAATGCCTACTTAATTCAAGCCTTTTTGAAAGTTTTATTGTGCCACCACAAAAAATTAAGAAGTTATTTACAGCTGAGTTCAGATTCTTAAGAAAAAAATATTAAATTCCCCTTCTTTATGCAGAGCACCAAAGTTAAACACACACCTTTTTGTACCTAAAAGGTATATAAATGAAATTTTTAAAGTTCACTGAAGAGTTGCATTACTTTACCAGAAACACTACCAATTAAACCTCAACGTTGTCAGTAACTGGCATGACAGACGGTTTCAAGCATCTATAAATATCATCGGAACAGAAGTTGGAGAAATAAAACTCCTAAATATAAAAAACTTTGGTATTCACAGAAACTGCACAGTTGTTTAGACAATGTATATTAAATAAAGCTTCAGTACATTCGTAGCAGCCTCCAAGCACTGCTACTTGTACTGGTACCCATAAAGTCTTGCACCAAGTTTACCAAGCTTGGCACGGCGTTTCCTCGGGACACAGGCGAGGTTTCCATGGATTGCTGCACCCACCACAGTACTGCCATCAGTGAACTTTCCGTTTCCTTGTTCTAGCCAACAGCATGGCCTTATAAAATTAAATTTCACCACCAGCAACACTGGTGGTGCTGGTGCTATGGATTTAGCAAGGTTAGAAAATAAAGAGGGGGGAAAAGTTTTTATAGAGAGATAATCCATGCAATCAATGAACAAAAAAAATGGACCACATCTGAACTTCACATCTCTCACTTTCAGAAATCAGAGCATCATTCTTTGAACTGGAATAGGACAGACGTACAGAACAAATACCTTACTCAGATTAATTGTATAAGCCAGTAAAGAACTTTCCAAGGCAACCCACACACAAACTTACCCCTTGGCTTCCTTGAAACTGGATTACTGGTTTTGATGTCACAGCATCCTACAAAAACAAGTGGAAAAAAAAAAATTACCTTAGAGAAATTTAAAGCTCCAACACTCACTGCCAAAAAATACTCAGCTTGATTTTTCACCTACACTTTTTACTTTTTTTTTTTAAAAAAGGGAAAATGTGCAGGGAAGTATACAGAATTCCAAGCAAGAAAATACAAAATCTCCTGAAACAGTGATTTGTACCTAGAAAAGGGATAAAACTGTAATGTCACCAGCGGTACCCTTACTTCAGAAAAAGAACAGCTCTGAGATGATACCCAGATGGGCTACGCTTAGTTCCTTCCTGACCCCTAAACCACATTTTAGGCACAGAATAGCTTAGCTGTATATCTTTGGTGCTTATGTAAGTTTTGAGTTAAACAGTGGATATTTGAGGGGAAAATTTATTACAGTTCTAGGTCTGAGAACACGCTAAGCAAATTTTTTCCAATAGAAAGCTGGCAATTCATTGGAAAAGCGAATTGCAACTTCATTGCAAAATACTGTTGTTACGTTGCCCATTTCAACAATCGGCCTCTTCCTCCATACTAATTTGCTTACATTTCCAGAAGTCATACTCCTGCTAGCTCTAAAACCCCTTAAATCTGCTCAAAAGAGAAACACCACTGAGTTTCAGCCTTTTTGCACTGTGATTGCACTTTTCGCTTTGCTGTGATTTTACAAAGATCATGAAGGCTTTGGAATTCAAACTCTTACCTGAGGTTTCAACTACAGGGAAAGAAACAACATATGCAGTCCAAGCCACACTAAGTTTTTATTTCTTAAATGTCAGGAGAATTGTGGCTGTAATGGTTTTTATTTCCTAAATCACACAAAACACTACAAGACACCCTCCTGCAGCGCAGGAGTTGTGCTCCCCAGGGTGGAAAAACACGCTGTGTGTGGGATCCCATTGTGAAGCCTTCCAAAGGGACAGAATAATTTACAAATAGGTTGAAACGTCCTTTAGGAGTGAACACGTTGCCACATATACAGGAGACACATTTCAATGGGGAAAAATGCCAAGAAGAGTTCAGGAGACAAAGTCAAAATGGTGCATTTGTATTGTCCTTTTTGTATCAGTTCTCACGTCTCCCAGCATTAGAGAGATCACGTCGACTTCCACCAGATTACAGAAACAGACGTTTACATTTAGCAGCAAAAGAGTTAACAGCTTGAAAGCCCATTAAGTTTATCATCTCTCATAAAACCTTTCCAAATGCTTTCAGCCTAAGAGTGAAGAATCTAACCCACAATACGCTGACATTAACAAAATTCACTAGCAAGAAAATATCCTTCTAGCACAGATGAATAAGCTCATACCAAGACAGTCTTCAGAGCCTTTTAAGAGCCCATCCAATACGATTTAACAGATCTGCATCACATCCTAAATTGTTACGAGATATTTATGACGGTGAGTAAAGCAAGAATATACTTGAAGCTGATAGCACTCACTCTGTGTTGTATAGCGAGTTTTATAGACCCGAAACAACCTTTATAAAGAAACAATAAACGACATCTTGCTCTTCATACAGATCACTGAATTCCTTGAGTGCCACGACATTGCATACCACAGCACACTGTTCATAGACAGACTGGCCAGCTTTTTGTTCACGGTGTCAGCATGTACTGTGCAATGTGTCCAGAAATTCATATGAACATACTTGAGCAAACAAGCATTTGAAACATTAAGAAAATCTGGATTTAAAAAAACACTCAATGGGGATCTTGTACAGCTAATTACGGATTTGTGAAGTTCTGCAATTAATTCTGGAAAATTACTTAAGTGGAATAAAAAGGTAGTATGAAGCACGTAAGTAGAATAACGAGGCAGTAACAATAACAATACAAAAGTACTGTTACACAAATCAGGACAAGCTTTAATTACAGAACTTATAAATTCCCTAATCTACATACAAAATGGTTTGAAGTTAAATGTGTGATCTCAAACTTAAAAATGAGTGTTCATGTGAGTTAAATGGCAAACTTTAGCTTTACTTCCTTGAACCCCTGAAATACGGTATTTCTACGCTCCCGAGTTGTCTGTGCCCATGGGCTGCTGGGTTTTGTGATCTGCCATGTATTACAACCGGCGTTGTAACTCCTTGCCGCACTCCACAGAAGGGAAGAGCTGGATATTGGAGGGTCACTGCACCCTCTGAGTTCCCCTTTCAGGGAGAGAAGTGGAAGGCTCTTGGCTTCTCAGCCACACCACCCCTGCACCTACACAGGCATTGCTTCCCTTCTGCTGATGCCCTTGGCTATGGGTCGTTTGAGAATGTTCATGGAAGAAGAAAACACATGCACACCCTAACCTAATTAAGGATATGAATTTAAGTACTTCTATTAGATGAAATTAAATTCCTGCACGGACACCTTCATTCAGAATAAAAGCAAACAGATGAATTAAGCTAAACCAAATTAAAACCATATTCCAATTTATATCTTCAGTTCATTTGGATTAACTTTCCTGAATGTTCTTGTACGGACAAACCCCAATTTTAAAGAGTTCTTGCTACCATCTCCAAAATCCCTCCATCCCACCTAACTCTTATTCCTTAGTGATGCCAAGACAGTGAACTTCCCTTGTTACAGCTTCCTAGAAATGCCGTCCCATCCACCTTTAGAGGGAACAAGGTCTTTCCCTCTTTCTGTCTTTCCTTGTAATAAAAACAAGCCATCTCCTCAGCCCTAGGACAGGACCATGGCACTGTTGCGGCTGCAAGTCTGCCTTCTCCAGAGTACACCAACTTACAGGGTTCAGTAAATCTTTGGTAAATCAAGGATGCTGATGAAACCTCACCTTTGTGTTCAATTAAGAGGCAAAACAAGACAGATCTGTCCGAGCAACTGGGCCACCTGCACAGCCTAAGCATCTTCCAGCTATCAAATTCTAGCTTTATTCCTCCATGAGACTCAATATATTTAGGAATAGCTGCTGAAAGCTGATTAGGATCAAATCTAAGCAACAAAAACCTAAGCAAGAAAACAACAGTTCAAGTATTTTAAACCAGCCACCTGTCAGTTCAACAGATTTCCTGCTGCCAGGTACAAGATGTTCAGCTCTGCAGTTAACACACTCATCCATAATGGTGACAGCGCTGTTGAAGAGGTCCAAGAGTAGTGAATAAGCATGACTGCTGGGACCTGTGGGACCAGAGAACAAGCGACTGCCATGCAAGAATAATGAATTTCTAAACTATGCACAGACCAAGAACAAGCAAAGCCCCTTTAAACACACCTAAGATGCATGAATTACATGTCTGCTCCCTGCTCACCACTGTTTCAACAAAAGGCTTCCTGACGCAGAACTGAAAGGTTAGCAAATCATTACCACGTCTTCACTGTTTGCTAGTTCCTACAATGGATCTTTAAGAAAATGCATCAAGCTTCCTCCCATCTTACCGTAAGAGAAAATGAACTGTTTTAACAAACTGGAGAGTCCTTCCTGCAGTTGAACTCACCAATGCCCCAAAGCTCTATAGGAATAACTTCCAAAGGAATATCCAAACAGCAAATGCGTGGCTGTACTTCGCTGCGATCTACCCAAATGTTAATTATTGTTATAAATGTAGATAGCAGCAGGAGTACTCAGCAGAAAGCATAAAACTTGCTGAGCAGCAGAGTGAACTCCACTGGCAGGGAAGCTTGCTCACACAAACCCCAGCGCTGCTGCAATGAGCCTGCAGAGTAAGTACATGAGCTGGAAGCTCTGGAGCCAGCTCCACCGTGTCTACCCGACTTGCAAACAGACCCTCAGAAGGAGCCTGAACAGACCCCAGTTATGCTGGGTGACAACCCAGAATTTTACTCCATAAAAATTCACTTATTTACTATCTGGAAAGAGCATTTCCATGCTTCTGTGCCCAGTTCATTGCCTTCCATAGCTCCTGCTGTATTCTTCAGGCACAGTGGAGAAATAAAGCAGCAAGCTTTCAAACACTAAAGCTCTGCTCTGGGACACCAACATGAATCAAACCCCACAGACCCAAATGCTTTTTGTCAGACGGTCCTCCAGATACTGCAAGATTATTTCAGAAGTCATGAGATTAAACCGAAAACCCAAAAACTCATCCCCAAAGCTCCCACAAAACATTTGTCTTTTATTAGCATGGTATTATGCTCATCTTCATCCTCTAGCTTCCCCGGGCTAGAGGAGAGCTAGTAACCCTTAATGCATACTCCGAAAGCTCACAGAGGCAACGGCAATGCGCAAACAGTTCCTCGCGCTTAAATACTCCAGATCTGGCATGTGGAAGCTTGAGTAAAGAGTAGGAGGAACAAGAAAGAGTCAATAAAACAGACAAAAACTGAATGTAAAACTAGTAAAATACTTTATCGGGTATGATCAAAGCTGGCATGAAGTTTTAAAAACGTTTAGTGGAAAAGCTGAATATTCCTACACAGGACCAGAAAGGACATTTGAAATCCTCAGGTCAAGTAACCAGTTGGAAACCTCCCCGTTTCTTCAGGGAAATACAGATAATTAAAGAATACGTTGTTTCGAGAAGTTCTGTTATGCATTACTGGAATTTATACTGGAGGCAGTGTTATACGGAAAATATTTGCTTATACTTAGTATCGGTGTATTTGTCTGTTTTCTTGAATGTTAACAGTCTCAAATGCCGAGCAAACAGAGCAAATGAAAGCCTACCCATATTTATGTTGGAACAAGGGAATTATTTTCAGAATTTAAAGCTTCTTGCAAATATTTAAAATTAGTAGCAAGAATTCCAATAAATATACAGAGAAACTAAAATCATGCTAACCCCAAGGCTGGCATTCACGGGATATTTTGAACTATCACGTGCGGTTCCAACCAGGTAAAGCCACTGCGCCTCAGAAGTCACTTACAAAAATGAGAAGAGACAGAAATCACTTAAAATTCATAAATTTCAGACTGGCTAATACCCCAAACTCATCGAAGTTCCTCTTTAATTCTTTGTTTATGACTAGTTTATGTTTCTTTTGCCCACACAGCATGGTCCAAATATAGGCATACTTCCACCT